AGGATGTTTTGCCATTCACGGAGAAGTCCTAACGGAACATCGTTGCCGGCCTGGCTTATGAAGCCGGGACCGATACTTATTAAAAGAAACGATCGTAACTCAAAATTTGAACCTGTTACAGAAGAAGGGCAACTTTTACAAAGTACCCCTAACTACTCTTATATCATATATTCCGACGGGAGAGAAAGTACGGTGTCCAATAGGCACCTAGCTCCACTACCATCAACTGGAGATGACTTTTCTTCGGATGAAGAAGAGGAAAGAGAAGAAGAAGGAACCGCTACCACTGGGGTCCAACTAAGGCGTTCAAAGCGCGTCCGGCATCCACCAGCTCGGCTTCTTAATTATATCTCGGGATGAATGATATAGTACTCTTTCGTCATCTCTAGATATCTATGATGTTTGTCATTATTGTCATAGTTTTTCTCTTGTCTTCTAATATTTTCCTATATGTATTTTATAAGCTGAATAAAGCCTTTAATTCTCAAGGCTTGTCTTATTTACATAACAAGGACATAGGTTGAACATATAATTAGTCTTTATAGAACAAAGCGAAGGCTATTAATTCCATGCATTGCGATCCTTAAAATAATCATCAACTTTATATTAGCCTTTACTCATAAGTATATTGTTTACATGAATTTGAAATTTATTTATGGGTAGGTCAATTACGTTTTGTGGAACTTTATTGAACATAGCAATACATTTACCCAGAAATGATCCTCTGGTTTTTTGAAGTATGAAACTTGGAACGGCAAGTTTATTTTTATTTCTTGTGTTAAGATTATGAACACTACTTTTTTTTGTGAAGGAATCGTAATGTTTTCTTGTGTACATAATATTCTCATAGATGTATTGAGTGGCAACAGTCAGAATATTTATTTCTTTAAATATTTTTCTGAGAGATTCCCTAGACCGTAAATTATATATAGCACGGACAGCTCTCTTTTGTAAAATAAAAATATCCTGAATGCTAGCCGCAGAACCCCATAACAATATACCATACGTCATTACACTATGAAAATAACTAAAATATAACTCAACTTTTTTACTATTTACATTTATAAGTGTACTGACATGCCTCACATTAGGTAATGCAAACTTCATGCATTTCGTTTTATTTGACCTTTACCTCCTGCACCTGTAATTACCAGATGGGGTACTTGGCTTGATGCAGCATTTCGATGAAATTAAATCTCTGTTGTCTGTGCTGAACAGTCAATATGCAAAATCAATAGAGAATGCTTTAAATTTTTTTAATAATAATGACAACATTAAGGATGATTTGTCTTTATTTACGATCATTTTTCAATTATACCAACAGCTTTGACATCACAACAGAAACCAGATCTTTCTCTTATGGAATCATTTGAAATATTTGATGCAGTGAGATTAGATTTGAGACGGGCAAATTGTGAGAGCTTAGAAGATAAAATGGAAAAAGTCATGGATAGAAATCCTGATTTGGTCACTATCAGAAATATAGCATAAAAAATTTCATCCTGCACTAATGAAGAGGAGGAGGAAGTGTATAAATTTGCTAACCTCACCTCAGTTGACGTAGAGTGATCTTTTTCAATGTACAAATGGATTTTGAATGTTCGGAGAAATATTGAAATATTGAAAAGAGCCAAAAAATATTGAAAAGCTTATGATTATATATTTTAATTCTCACAAAAGTTATACAGTAATGTCGGAAGCGAACACTTCAAATCTTACTGGTAATCAATCGAACAAGGAAAATGATTCTGATGTGCCGTTTGAATAGGCAAAACCTCATGAGTCTAGACTAGAAGCAAAAGTATTCGATCGTATTTATAAAAAACGGCGAAATATGCGTATGAGAATTTGCTAGACTATCAATAATTTGTATTGTAAATTAATGTAAACTAATAAAAATTTTATGTTAATTATCTTTGTTTTATTTGTCTATCTCTGACGTTATTATTATTTAGTTGTAAGATTGTTGGCCACACGGGATTGTCCATTAGAAATCCCGGGAAGGTCCACCTTAATATCAACATTTCGATGCAAGTACATAAATAACTCTACCTAATTCCGACCTCTGGTGATAATAAGTACAAGACGCTTGCCTCCAATTTATTTTCGCATAATTTGCAGAGGCTGTAATATGGACTTGTATCCCACTCAAAATATCTGTGGACGGCATTTGTTATTTTACGCAGCATAATTAACTTCCACAAAACACTTACTAAAAAACTAAATATTGTAATAATAAAAAAGCGGCTCCTTTGAATTGTGTCTAGCTGCAAATCACAGACTAAGAAGATACTACGTATGCTGCAAATACATTTGCATCAGTCAGTTAATGAAACTAATGGGAATGGATCAGCCAGTGTTGTCAACTTTCAATGACAATTCCCTGAGTCACTTATATTACTAAAATACTGAACAAAAATATTAAACTATTATAATTACTTAAATCTTTTGAATTTTCATATTTTACTATTTATATTAAATAAATCAAGCTTTATTTTCAAGATCTCAGTCTGTAACAAATATAATCTAGAACTAATTACTGACAAAGTAACTACATATATACTTTTATTATAGCAATCGCTGAAACTAAATTCAGTTAAAAATAATAGAAAAGAAAATATAATAAATAACGATAGCAAAATCTGATACAGAGTGAGCTAGCCTTATATAAAAAATATGTACTTATTTTATTTCCTACAGACAAAACAATATTTGGATAATTCGAATACATTTTAATGTGTGCATATCTTGTGTACAGTTAACTTAAACCACATTAGACTATCAGCCACTAAAATATAATTATATCATTAAAAGAGTCGAAACCACCAATAATGCATTAGATAAATTGGCAACACTGAGAGCGGCTTTTCTGTACATCCCTGCGATTCTTTAAAAATCCAAACTCAAATTCTAATACACACAGGTGTCCGAATTCGCTTCAAAAAGCGGTATCCACTCAATCTTGAATTGGTAATAACCATGGTAATAACGTTTCGTGGTATAAGTAAAGTAAGTTTCGAAATGACATGGGAATAGAATATCTGAGACATGTATAATCAATAATTTTTTTTGTATTTTTATACAAAAAATGGAATCAACAGAATTTCTTCACTAAATGACGTCAATTCGGAGGTATGAGTGAATTCGAATTCGGATACGGATTTTTACAGAATCGTTCTGCAAAAAAGAGTTAGCTATATGACGCGTGCAACCACTGTTCGATCTCGGGCAACGTCGCGCGTCGCCGCCTGTGTCTGCCGGCAACCTGTTTTTTATGTCTTGTCGCTCACGCGCAAATGTGCAAGGGTCATCACAAAATGCAAAATAACGTAGACCGATAAATTATATTGCAAAAAAAAATACAATTGAGCTACTCACTTATTGGTGAATAATATAGACATTATTGTATTTATGTAATGTTCAAATAGGAAGCAACGATTGATAAATCCTAGGTAAATAGTGTTTGTGATGTGTGGTAAATTCTAATTTGATTTTTGTAATGTGTTTTTCTAATAGTTTACGTTGTAAATTATTTAAGTTAATACAGGTTGCAGGTTGGTATGCTACAAAAATGTTTAAAGCTATTTGTATGATCATGGTTTCCGATTTATGGATAAATTTTAAAATCATTTTTAAAACAAGTCCAAGTTACCTCATGCATAATTGCTATGTTTAAGGGTCGGTACATATCAGAGAGAAGATGCGTCGCGTATATTCCGACAAATATTATGATATTACAATTATAGTACCTATTATACCATCATCCTTGTATAATAGACAACAGATTAATCGCGTAAAAATGCATACTTCAATTGTTTCGCTTGGCTCGACGCATCTTCTTTCAGATTTGTGCCGACCCTAACTGCTCGCCGACCAGCTGGCCAAATGGGATCTCTGCTCGCCGGAAAGATAATGCGACGCGCACGACGTTGCATAAAGTTAACAAATGTATGATGAAGTTTGTCGGAATATACGCGACGCATCAAATTAAATGTATAAAAAAAACATGCTATCTGATCAAACACACCTCTGTATATCAGACTACTTGATAAATCATAATAAATCTCATTAGAGTAGACACTTAAATGATATAATAATTATTAGGTACGTATTTTAATATAATTAGTGATCTGGCTAAAACAAAAAAAAATTATGACGAACTCTGATGTGCCTTCTTTTAATGGCCTAAAAACTGTCTATAGATGTTCTAAAGAATCAAAGATATGCGAAAGAAATCATGTAATTACATGGAATAAGGAATGAAACACTTGATACCTATCGAACTTGCAAAAACCGAAACAATTCGGTTAAAAATACCGAAATATTCTGAAACAGATTATTCCGGTTTAACATATTTGATTCTGTTACCGAAATGAATCGGTTACCAAATGAATCGGTTACCGAAATGAATCGGTTACCGAATGAATCGGTTACCGTAATGAATCGGTTAACAGTTTACCGTTTGGGTTAATAACAGTTACGTTTCGGTTATTAATCCTAACCGTCCGAACCCTGGAAATATCAGAAGACCTTCCGTATGTGGACCGTTGATTCACAAACGAAGCATCCATCTAGGACGACACATAACCAGCCCAGATGATATTAATGCTCTGAAAGCCAGGAATATCATAGACTTCTTAGAAGCTACCAGGCTAAAGGAGCTACTATAACTTTGACGGCGAATCATAAAAGATCTTATAGGTCGTAGTGACTACAGTTCCATTAGGAACCGAATGGCCTCTTAAACCTGAATAATAATAACTATATATTGGGGGTGTACAGTTGTCAAATCGTTACAGCTTATTTAATTTTATTTCAAAGTAAATATTTTTCGATATTTAAATTAATTATTTTCAAATTTTCCATGGAATGCCCCAAATGTTTAAAAACCTGGGGCTAGTGAATTTTTAAGCATAGGTTTAATTATTTTTTATAATTTGTATTAAATACTGTTTATCAGAAAATCTATGGAGTGATTTTCAGTAGCATGAAGGATTTAGTCAATAATGAATCCTCACTGTGGTATCTGCGGCGGTGGTGGTATTGGCGGCGGCGGCGGCGGCGGTGGCGGTATTGGCGGCGGCGACGGCGAGGCGCGCGCGCAAGGCCGCGTCCGCCTGCACGCAACACTGCACCAGCTCGTGCCACGCGAGCAGAGTACTCGCGCACTGGTAACATACTACGCGCGGCAACACATCATGCTCCGTTACCTGGTTTAATACAACACTGGTGAAATCAAACTGACACTTTTCTAATTTATCTATCGATTATATATCCCTACGAGTGCACCACTAAAGGAATATCTAATGCACTGGTCTGCTGTTCTGTGTCGCCACCGTGGGCTCTACGAATCTTAAAGGAGGTTGTATTACGTTCGCAACCTTACCGCTGGCCGCTTTAACGCCATGACGGCAGGAAGAAAATTTAGTACCAAAGGCATTCTCTATCAATCTACCAGAAAAAAATGTTCTTATTATGTCATATATGTTTTAACTATGTACTCTCTTGTTTGTACTTTTGTAAGATCAATAAATGTTACGTTTTCTTACTATTAATAGTCCGGTCATTTAACAGATCAATCTCATAAGTGCGTATCTCTAAAATGCTATAAATAACAAACTTGACTAAGTGCTGATATGCGCTTTTACCCTGGGGGTAATGAATTCCCAAAGAAAATTAATAAATTCTATATAACCTCAGCAATCAAAAGATTTTCAAGTGAAACGCGATTGAAACTGTCAAAAAATAATGTTTTAAAAAAAATTCATGAATAACTTAAGATTTTTTTATGGAAAAAGTATTGTTATCAAAATTAAAGTTTATGAAGAACATTAAAAAAAAATAGTTTTTTTTTATGTTACAGCTCATACTTAGCGATTTATTACTCATCGAGGGCAATTTTTTTTTTATTCTGAAGACTGATTTAAAGTAGACCTATAGGTCAATTTTTGAAATGGTACAGTAAGATCTACTAAATACTTGAACCATAACATTTATATTATAAAAACTATTTTTCAATACCCAAATATAAATTCTATAATACAGAGCATCCTGATGGTACTGGTCATGCTAGATCAGGAATTCTCATAAAATCAAATATAAAACATCATGGAGTCAAATCATATTGTATAGATATGCAACAATTTGTTGAAGACGCCACTGGCTCTATGACAATATCGGCACTGTATTCTCCACCAAGACATAATTTGAAAGAGAATGATTACATAGATTATTTCACATCACTAGGAAATAGATTTATAGCAGGAGGCGACTATAATAAAACATACCAATTGAGGATCACGAGTTACTACCAACAAAGGGACGCCAGCTACTGACTATCAGTCGGAAACTTAAATTGAATATTATTACGTCAAGGAAACCTACATATTGGCCAACAGATAGAAAGCGTCTTCCTGACCTTGTAGACTTTTGTGTGACAAAGGGCATTTCTAACAAATACATAAAAGAAAATCGAGTCTGGAACTGTCATCAGATCACACTCCAGTTATTGTTATCCTCAAACAAGAAGTGACTAAGACACTTGGTCAATGCAGACTGCATAGTCACAAGGCAAAATTGATTCTCTATCAGTTTTGTATACTAAAAAAATCAACATAAATTTGCCAATGAAAACTGACAATGATATAACACTGGCAGTTAAGTATTTTAATTACTACATCCAAACATCGGCTTGGTAGGCTACACCTAATCAAAAGGAATCTGAATCGAATCCTTGTACACAAATTACAGATATTATCTTTCAAAAACGTTCTACCAGAAAGAAGTGGCAACAGACTAGGCACCCTGATAAAAAAACTAAAGCTCCTCATATCTAAAGAAGATGCTACTGGGTCAATCCATATCAAGTGGTCCAGCACTGATTGCTCGTAGATTTTTATATTTTTACCAAAGAAAGTACTGTTCATTGGAAGTACAAACATGCAATTATTTTATTTTTTAAATTTATATTTAGTCAATGGCGGCCATTTTTCTGTCGACCGAACGCCCATTTTTTGCGATTTCAGAGCTCTGCGCTAAATCAAATATCTCCGCTTCTATTCATCCTAGAACATTCAAATAAAAACTCATCTCTTCAGAAAGATCTGAACTGTAATAAAGGTCTATATGAGTATGCACCTAGAACTAAGTATGTGGTAAAGTGGGTTAAAGTACCCCTTCAAAGTTTGATGTGATATTTTTTCAAATGGATTTTCAAAAAAAAAAATCTACAAGAAGGCAAATGATTATGTGTTTGATGACCTTTCTTACAGTTCGGATCTTTTGAAGAGATCAGTTTTTATTTGTATGTTCTAGGATGAATAGAAGCAGATTTAATTGATTTATTAGCCTACCACACGTGCATGCTTGACCACAGTTTTACTTGCGCATGCCGGCTTGTACACTGAACACTGTGCGTGTAGTTGGTAAAATGGTAGCATGCGCAAACCCCAAAGCTTAGCTGGATGGTTTTTAAACTCACTTGAAATTCTGGCATGCGCAAGCTATTCTTATACAAACTTGTTTGCGCGTGTGGTTGGGCGTTCAGTGTTCAAGCCGCTCAGTCAGTTGGGTGAAGCAACTGTGCGCGCACTGTCGTAAAATGTCGGATTATTTTAGATAATGCTTGTTCCGAAATTGCCGCAGAAAACCTCAAATCTTGATACGATCTCTCAGTTGCCAGAAACCTTAAAGTAGCGGTTAATATTTCGTGAGGGGATATACTCTCACGCATTACCGTGTTTTGTCGTTGAATGAGAGGCGTAACCAAACGTAACATCTCACTATAGGCATTTTCGTCCATCCGTAAATAATTCCGCCAATCGTTTGGATCATCTCTTAAATCCTTGAGTAGATTCATATGTGAATGAATTTTTCTATTCAACAGCCATTTTTTTGTCCACTTTGATCGTTTACACTTCGACTTATGCATTTTCTTTTTTTTCACTAGCAAACACTTGAAAAATAATAACAGAAGAAATAGTTCTTCATTGGGAAACATTGTTTCTACGCCGACGATGTCGACAAGAATGTGGCTTGCGCGTACTTAACTGTGCTGTGTGGTAGACACGTCCGTGTTCAGTCTTTTCATGCGAGAAGCATGCGCAAGCAAAACTATAGTCAAGCATGTACGTGTGGTAGGCACATTAGAGCTCTGAAATCGCAGAAAATGACCGCCTTTGGCTAAATAAAAATTTAAATTTTAAAATAATTGCATGTTTGTTCTTCCAATGAACAGTACTTTCTTTGGTAAAAATATAAACAGACGGTCGTCTGTATGGATTCCTCTGTTTTACTCTAAAATAGTCCCTGAAACTTGTATAGATATGTCTGCACGGAGCGACCTGTACTGACAGTCCGTGTGACACTAAAACCACCCTAACACTGCAGTACGAAATCCCATATTGAAATTGGAAAACAATTTCCTGGAAAAGTTATTTCTCGCCTTAATGAAAGTAGCCCAAGTTATTATGATTCTTAAACCAGAAATAAGTGCTGAAGACCCAAAATGTTATCGCCCTGCAGGCCTTCTGCCAATTGCATAGAAACTGTTGGAGGACATGTTCTAGGGCAGATTGAATCCAATCATAAAGGAAGGTATGCTGATCCCAAACCACCAGTTCAGCTTCAGACATGGACCAGGTACAATCCAACAAACCCACAGGGTCATTAGTAATATACACTATTGTTTCTACAGATTGTAGTCTGTGATCTATGACTCTGCTGAAATTATGATTTTGGGTAAAAAAATGTTATTATTATTGATGATATCAAGCTATTTTCAGTGGAAATAAAGGTATTAATGTACAAACTAGTCTATACTGTGTATATGAGTGTTATTTGTGTGATTCCTTATTTATCACATGGTTTGTAATCAACTGATGTTTATTTACTACTTATGTTAAGTAAGAAAAAATTTACTATATCAACTATGCTGTAATGATGTTATCAATTTACAAGTTGATTAAATATTGACATTCGTTAAGCTTGTTTGCTGAACAAGGATCAATGCTTGATTTTAATTTCATACCACAGAATCTTTGTAGCTTACTAATTATTTGATCGCTTTTCTTTCCACTCTATTTTTAATGTGTGTAATTACCTGTATTGGTAAATGCTTATGAATTTTGTCAGCCAAATTATTTTGTAAACCTTCACCATTGAATATTGGAATCACAAATTCTGTAACTGTGGCACAAGTTCGGCATACTGTAGAGAAATCTTCCAATCCTGTAAAGTGAAACAATTTTTAAAATAAATGGATTTGTTAAAGAAATATTTCACCAACTTTATATTAAACAGCAAATAAATAAAGAGTCAGTTTATTCTTTAAATTTTGATTCTAAATTGGCATATACATGGTAATGTGATATAGGGCGGTGAAACTGGCAATTAATATAAGGTTAGAAAAGGTTTAAATTATTATATTTGATAAACTATGTATTCACAATGCTATACTGGAAAATATTCTGAATGAAATATGCTTAAAAACATTTTAAAATTAATTCAAATCAATGGAACATAGAAATATTATTCTGTATGTAATCTAAATATTGGTTAAAAGTTTGGCTGTCAAGTACCACTGGGACTGGCATCTTAAATGAGTTTATGAATACAGCAATGAAAGTCATTCACAAAACAAGCAAAGCCCTTCGCTTTGATTATAGGTTACGTTGTTGTGGATTAGATACTCACCTGGTGTTGAAGCCGAAACATCGTTAATTTTTGGTACTATAGCCAATGGTTGCGTATTAGATGAATTCGATAAGAAAATGTGTTCAGTTTCGTTATTCATTTTCTTCGCATTTCGAAGTTTTGTCTTATCTTTAAAAATACCGTTCTGAGATCAGATTTCTCTTATTGTTTATAGCATACATAGCCACAGACTTAGTCGTTGTCATCACAGATCACCGATTCACTAGTCATAGACTAATCAAGACTAATATTGTATATAGGGTTTGTTGTCACCACGAATGTCAATTTAAACTGGATTGTGCAGTGTTTCATTAAAAACGGGCAGAGTGAGAGAGTAAATTAGTAACTCTTCATCTCTGTCTTAGTAGTTTTGTAGGATGTCCACGCGTTTTTAATAATTTCATAAATAGGTAATATTTAATAATGTTTACATGACCAAATTTAAACATTTACAGATATAATTTTATAAATTTTTACAGATATTATGAATGATAGTGTTAGAAATTTAACCGATAAATTAGTTTTTATTTATCGGTAAAGATATTTATTTTGTAGGAAATAAAACAAGTACATAAATGTTATTATAATCATCTATAATGTATAAATTAATTAAAAGGATAGAAATGTTTTTTTTTCCTATTAATTGTATTAGAATACAACGGATCACTTTGCCTGGTATTATTGTCCTCCATTTTTCAGCTAGACTTTTATCCTTTAGGATCCTAGAAACATAAGAGCAATTTTGTCATGGTCAGCATAAGAAAATTATTACTTTATAAATATTTATCCAAACTAATGTGTAGGCCATTCCGATATTTTCCAAAACATAATTAAGCTAGTTCTCGTTTTTCATTTTCCAAATAACTTTGTACCTACCGTGAAAATATTGATAACGAAGAATGGCGGGTAGCGTAAGTAAAACTTATAAATGTTTATAATATAAACGTATGAATATTAATTTAAATCAAAGCCTCTTTGATATGGTTTTGTTTCTTGATCGTAGACACCCTATTTCATCACTGTTTAATAAATAAGGAAAACAGCTTACCTGTGGAATGTGAAGTCACATTCGTGATACCATTCATTTTTGCAATCAGCCAAGCAAAACAATATACCATTTTGATGTAAATAATCGAATTAGTAAGTCAAAACACAAATAAACATTAAACTTTAACATTGTTTATGTTGTCACATCGAGCGGCCATATCTATTAATTTATAATATTGCTACTTAGATGTAACGAAAAACTACTAACACGACATCGGTTTACATTATAATTTTAATTAATTCACACTTTTACTTAAAAAACATATCAACTATGTCTATTCAATATATTTACTAATAGATAATAATTAAAATGACCTAGTGATGTCTTTAAAAAATCAATAAAATCTCCTAATTGCCAATAACAATTATTTAATTTTCCAATGGCAACTCGTTAGACAAGGACCTACTACTACAAATCTAATATCTCTAGTAGACCGTTTTTCTACTCTGAAATGTGACATAGAAAAATAAACCTTATTTTATATTAGATAAAGTGTAAGTTTGATTTTAAGAAATATATCAGTACGCAATCCAGTTTAAGTTGACATTCGTGGTTGTCACAGACGAATAAGAAATACTACTTATTAGAGATGTGCCGAGTCAGACTGACTCGAGTACTTACTCGAATACCTAGCAGGTACTCAGGTACTCGAGTACAGGATTCAAGTACTTACGGTATTCTTACGTAGTATCAACTAATAATTTTATAGAAGATTTGTACGTTTACGACGTAACTTAAAGTTTTTAACATAAGTGTTCTTGTTTATTTTCTTATTTTATTTTATATAATTGTTTATTTTAAAGTCATTTACATTTTCAAGAATTTTAGTAAGATTAAAATTATAAAAGCAAGATTTGCTTTGCGTGATTCTATAGAACTTTTTAATAATGTTCATAGTTACCAAAGTATGATTAAATGACTGATTATAGCTGTATTAATCTATTATTATTGAAATACTTTCCTATTGTTCATGGTTCATTTTAATGTGTAAACTCATGCAAACTACAAAGTTTGATTCAAATAATACACGAGCCCACTGAAGTATTCGAATACTTGTGCTAGTACTCGAATACCTACCCGACTCTTCTGACTCGATCCTTTTTTTAATGAGTACCAAAGTACTCGAATACCAAATATAGCGTACTTGGCACATCACTACTACTTATGTTGTTGTGTTGTTGGCTGACTGATAGAGGTAAGGCGTGTTCACTAAAACAGATCCATCTACTAGGTATTTTACAATACTAGGGCAAACCTGTTATTATATTCTAAATTCCTAGTATTTCTAAAAACTACACGATTTTCGCTGATCTAAAAAGTTAAAGGTCATAATTGCTTAAACGTGTCATGCTCAACTATTACTTTTTTTCCATTTCCATTTCGACTTTATTTATATCCGTCTCAGATATCATAATAAGTTAAAAGCAAGTATACAAAAAATGTTGTGTCAATAAAAGATAGACCAAATAGTCAGTATTACTTATTAATACAAATCTACTAATCTAATTTTACCATTTATGCAGTTGCTGTGGATCTGTGAAATGTATCTTAAATATAACTCAAAAATGCGCCTTCATTCTCGAGGACAGGCTTCACTTTCTTCCGTAAACAGAGTATTGACTATCACTAATATCGAATTGGCTCAAATCTATAAAAATGACGACGCCCTCGAGTTCATCATGCTTCGCGTACAGGATCCAACATAACACGAAGTAGGAAAAGACTTTGTAGCCAGATTTTTTAGATTAAACATATTTTATATCTTTGGTTCATTTGTTTTTGCTAGAGTCGCCATCTAGTGGAGGTGCTTCTTTGGTGCTTTCTTTTTTAAATATTTCGTCATTATAGATGGTAGGTACCTATAACTCAGACGAAATATCTACAAGATGCATGACATTTAAGCAAAACTCACACGTTTTTTTTCGGTGTTACTAAAAGAAAATGTCTTATGCTTGAAAGAGAGAGGTACCTATAGTGTACACAGTGGGCACTAAGTGAATGAATGTCGATATTTACCATGAAGATATTTACACCATAGGTTATCATTTTATTAAAAAAAAAAAAATCATAGTGTTGTAAATTTCTATCGACTATCAATCGAAAGCATTTATTAAGTAAAATGTATTATTATGCGGAATGGATTTATATTTTTTGTATAGATTCTTATTCGTCACAAGTTGTACATAGTTATAATTAAGCACACCAACAAACAAAAAAAAGTAAGGCGACAACAATAAAACAAGGTATTGAAGTCTATATTCAAGTAGATATTAATTAAGGCTAACAGTTTATTGTGTTTCAAGAACTGCCAAGTTTTCTGGAGGGGGCGGCGGCAGTTGCTCGTCCTACGGTAGCTACTATTGTTGGCGCGACCATCATAGTTTTGGTTTTGTACGTCTGGATCACTTGCTACAACAACACAATGAAATGCATGTATTAATTAATTGTACTTACTTGCTGTTTCTTTATTCAAAAGTATTTAGGTAAGTAGTACGTTATGAAGAGGGCAGCACTAGCATATAAAATACAATTAAATGTAAGAATTTTATGAAAAAAGACGATTTCTCGGGCTATCACCATGGGAGCTTGAAACATGCTTAGTTTAACCAATGATGGTAAATGTAGTGTTGAAAATAAAATAATTAGTGTTTTGCAGTTCAACTGCATATCGAAAGCAGAGTAAGCAACGTATTTGACTATGATCTGCTACAATAGTTAATAACAACATAAAATGATAAAAAAAGGTTATTTTGGTCTTGTAGGTCACGTGATAAGTTAGAAAATTTCGATGTTTTTTTTAACAGATAACCGTCTAGTAGAACGGTCCAAATGTATGTCATTATGATTTAAGTAGAAAACTAGGCATGAAAAAAGTTTGTTCCCGAAATCAAACTAGATGTCGCTACGGTACGTTCTTGATTTCTCCATGACAACCCTTTTTCTTTCATGTTTAAAAGTAAATTAGTTTTCAAAACTCAATAAACAACTTTGAATTTTTATTATAATTATTATTTGAATTTTTCGTATTTGTATTGATATCTAAGTTTCGAACTTCTCAAATTTCAGTTTTTTAATATGTTAGTTAAAAGGAACGGAAATGACTGTCTTTGGTCCATTCGTTTCCTGCAAAAATCAACATTTTTCTAGAGTCGCTTTCTAGTGGAGGAGCTTTTTTAGTGTTAGTGGAGGTGCATGAGCTTTCGCATTGTAGTACTCCGTGCTGTAGTTTTACCTATATTTATAATGCTGCCTTCAATATTAATTTCCAGGAAGTCCTAGCAATAAATTAGTGGGAAGAAATAATAATGAATAGCCGTAGCACAGAATCATAGTTACCAATACAAGTTTGATTAGGAAAACAGCAAAGGTTAAGAAGGAGATGGTCATGAGCGCGCTCTCCGATGATGGTATCTGCACGTAGCCGCGCGGCGTCGCGTGTGTCGCGCGGCGTTGTCGCGGCAAACAGTCGTCCGGCCAAGCGGAGTCTATTCGTTCTTCTAAAAGAAAACTATTATCTAAGACAGCATATTTTGATGACTTTGTCGGTTTAGGTACGAGAAAGGAAAACGAAATATTAGCTCGGTGGCGTAGTGGATAAGCGCCGCGGCCCGCGATCGTAGTCGTTAAGCAACTTTCGCAAGGGTCGGTCACGGGATGGGTGACCAAAAAATTATTATCTCGAGCTACTCCGTGCTTCGGAAGGCACGTTAAGCCGTTGGTCCCGGCTGCATTTGCAGTCGTTAATACCCTCCAATCCGCATTGGGCCAGTGTGGAGGGTCATGGCCCATCCTCCTTAACCATCCATAAGGAAGGCCTGAGCCCCTGCAGTGGGGACGTAAAAGGGCTGGTGATGTGATACAGATTTACTTTAACACTTAAATGTCACAGATTCTATACCTATATTTGTCTTCTTAATATTCATTAAGCTCATATACTGTTGAATGTCTCTCCCTCTAGGTATCTTTTGTTACCAATAATATTTTGAATAAGTTCAGACTTACCAATATTTGTTAAAATTGATTCTTTCAAATTTTCCAAATATCTTGTTTTGCTGCTGACTGTCCTCCGAGTGTTCTCCTTTATAGTGTCAGTCACGACTTTCGCTAATTTTATCAAGTTTTCTATTGCGTTCTTCTTATTATTTTCCAAAGTTCCTGTACTTTTATGTTCAATTTCTATGTTTCCTTTATTTGTAACAACGTTATCCCTTGTTGCGTGTGTATATGCTCCAGTTTCTGTGTGAGGCTTTTTATTTTCCTTTGTCTTAGATCTTTCCCTGGTACGATTGTATTCAGAGGAGTATTCTTTCATATCAGAGTCATTTTTAGAATATTTATCTTTAAATTCCTGGTTAGTTAGTTGTCTTATATCAGTAACACCTGTTTGTGGGCCTGTTTCAATATTGTTTTTCTTCGTTACACTTATTTCTCCTTTCACCGAAGAATTGGAATTGTTTCGATTGTAAGTGGACAATTTATTTAACCGCTGGTGTATTTCACTTTCGGGATAATTATTTTTTCCAGTACTCCATACTTCAAACGTTTCATTTTTGTTAGTGTTCATCACAAAACTTTTATTTGTACCATGTGCACTTAATTCATTAGAATCATCTAGCGTATAGTCTTCATATCTGGTGTTAACTGACACTACACTTGTTTCTTCAAAATTATTTTTCTTTTGAAGCGAACCGATTCGCAAAGTCGGTGCTTTAACGGGGTTCGAATCGAGCTGCACTCGTTGCACATTACCAAGTTTGGAAACCTTGTTGACATTGCCTTTATTCCAGGCGAACTCTTCTAAGGTTTCATTTTTGTAGACCGGCCTTGTCGATTGAAAGTAGACTTCTGTAACTTTTTCTAATGTTGAAAAGTTGATGTTCGTTCTGAGAGGCTTCCTGTAATGTTGTTGAGATATCTCTACCCAATCGGCGTCAGCGCGAGAGAGGAATAATAATATTATAAACATGTTGTTTGTTTGTTCCTGGCGGCAGTCGACGATGCGTGTGAACTGTTGTGTGATGTGTCATGTTTCGCTCGAGAAGTCTCCTATACTGTTATGTCAGTGGTGCTCAACTTTATATAAAAAATATTTTACATAAATTGTCATGTTCGCTCGCTCATGTCGTTTTTTTAATGAAAACATAATCTGGCTCTGTGTATGAAATCTGTGAATGAAATCAAGTAAGTACTTATCTCTTGCTGTCAAATGATCATTGAGAATGTTCTGTTCCTTTTTGTAATATAATTTGACAAGAAAAAAGTAAAGTACCTACCTGATGTAGTAGTAAAAATTGTTTTTGTATAATATGCGTCGTTTCTGTTTCTTTACATTTTTAACCGACTTCGAAATCCAAAAGGAGGAGGTCATATGTTCGACGGCGATGTATTTTTTATGTATGTTCACCCATATTTCCGCCAAATGTGAACCGATTTTCAAAATTATTTATTTATTCGTCAGATTAATGGACCATTAAAATTTTATCAAAATCGAATCAGTAGTTTTGCTCTTACAACAAAATACGCTTTTCACCAAATATCACCCAAATATTTAGTTGATATGGTAAGACATATTTTGAATGATTTGGAATTCATTCAAAATCCGAAAGGAGGATTTTCTATGTTCAAGGAGTATGTATATTTTTTATGAAAGTAAGTATGTTAATCGATTTCTGCTTGAATTGTGAACTAATTTCTATCAAACTAGCTGTTTCCCTGCGACTTCGCCTGCGTAAATTAAAGCCTATGTTCAACGCGTAATATGTATCTTACCGTAGATTATTATAAGTCGGTCCAATAATTTCGGAGCCTATCCAATACTAATAAACAAGCAATCAAATCTTTCCCATTTATAAATTATTTATAGAGTATAGAATGAACAAAAATATGTCGAATGAATAAAGAAACTCTTCTTTTCTAAGACTTGCACTATGTAGAATATTTTTATTTCTATAGATATTTAATACTTTTTAGTATTACCTATTATTTAAAAAAATATGAATATCACTAAAAAGCATTATATAAGAAATAAAAAAAATTAGAACCGACTTCAAACTTAAAAAGAAAATGATAAACAATACTCATCTCAAAAGTTATATATTCAAGAAAATGCTTTTGAAGTCGGGCTCATCTATACTAATTTTATAAAGCTGAAGAGTTTGTTTGTTTGTTTGAACGCGCTAATCTCAGGAACTACTGGTTCGGATTGAAAAAATATTTTTGTGTTGAATAGACCATTTATCGAGGAAGGCTTTAGGCTATATAACATCACGCTGCAACTATAAGGAGCGAAGAAATAATGGAAAACGCGGACGATGTCGCTGGCGGCCACTAGTATCATATAATAACCTACAAAAGCCTCGACCTCCGCCTGCCCCACTTCAATTGCATTTTCTTGAATAAGTAGCTTTTGAGATAAGTATTATATATATTTTTTAAAGTTTGAGGTCGATTTTATTATTTTTTTAAAAGTTTTTTATCTAGAGACAGTTATATAAATGTCAACAGCTATCGCTCCACTGGCATCCCGCCACGGAGGCTGCGTATGAAGATTGTTCCACGCGTCGGTAACTGCCATACGTTTGTCTCGTAGTGAAGTAAACTTGTAGTGTACGCTAAGTTGAAAGCTAAGCAATTAGTCTAGTGTGCGAGAAATACGTGGACTAAGAACACACACATATTCACATATAACATTTTGCATACGTATTTGTAAACACTTACAGACTAACCAGTAGTTCCTGAGATTAGCGCGTTCAAACAAACAAGCTCTTCAACTTTATAATATTAGTATAGTTTACGCGATTCTAACGAAATTACGTAAACCACAAATCGATAACCTCCTTCTTTTTTAAAATTGGTTAAAATTTAACACACTTGTTTGCCTATGAATATTGTGCCGTATTCCTACATATAGATAAAGTTGATAACATTTTGTTTAACTCGGTTAATGACGAACATATACATAGGTAAATTAACGGACTTATAAAAGGAGTTAAAATTGCTGGCCTTCTTTTTAAGCAAGTTCAAAAAAATTAGTCCGTCAGTTTACCTGGGCGTTTATGGACGTCATTAACAGATTAAAAAAAAGAGAAAATCAATTTCACATGTACATTTATAAAATGAGGTTATCAAATTGACTTCTATGTATGTATTATAATTTTATTGGAATATGGCGCCAATATTCATGTTAGTCTATTTGCGCTTCTACATTTTGTAGGTGTATATTATGTATGTCTATATGTTGGTCCACCTAGTTCTCGTAAATTAGACATTGGATTGAGGTGATAATTTTTTGTTTCAACATAGGGAACAATATAAGAGAAAACTTCTAACTGTCACCAATGAAATCGAATTGCTGCATCACAGAAATTTTTTATCCGGTAAATATAAGTATGTTTAAATACAGACGAAGGTGTCCGTCCATCAATTATAAGTTAGAAGTAAATTAATGGATCGGTGATAATTTCTCTTATTAAAAAAAAGAAAGAAAAACAATTAAAAAAAAATAAAGAACAAAAACATCGTAATAAAGAGAAACGACCGTAAAAAGAGATTTTTATTTTCAATAAAATCAAAATACAAAAGTGAATACACCAACAATGCTTTTTTGACGTTTTTTTGAAGTCTGTTTCATTTTTTATTATTATTTTCTTTAACATTTGTTCGTTTTCGTCTTGAAAATAATTATTATGAAATGCAAAAGAAAATGGGGTAGCTTCTTAAACTTCAAAATATTCAAACACCATGTTACTTGTCAGACCGGAAGTGACGAAAAAGTATATAGGGATGTCGTTGTTACAAAAAGTCAACATCGATGCAATAACATCAATGTATTATCCCGAAAAAAACAAATCCGGCCTCTTTCTGTGATAACCGCCCCATATCCATTCTTCCTTTCCTCTCAAAAGTTCTTGAAAAACTAGTCTATCGCCAACTTACGGCCTTTCTAAATAAAAATCACCTCCTCAACCCCTTTCAATCTGGTTTTCGTACAGGCCACAGCACAAATACTGCATTGGTTAAAATTACAGATGACATCCGACATGGGATGGAGAATCACCAACTGACATTGTTGACATTGCTTGATTTCAGCAATGCCTTTAATTCTGTTGATTTTGACATCCTTCTCGGTATTCTGCGTTCTCTTAACATATCTCCAGCGGCAATTGCTTGGTTTCAAAGTTACCTGCTAGGCCGCCGGCAGCGTATTCGTGGAGAAGGCATTTTTTCCTCGTGGTGTAGTCTCATTGCCGGTGTTCCTCAGGGTGGCGTCTTATCTCCTCTTCTTTTCTGTATTTTTATAAATTCAATTACTCACTCACTTTCTAGTTCCTATCATCTCTACACTGACGATCTGCAGATTTACACTCAAGCTTCGCTCTCAAACCTTTCCGATGCGGTTATGGTTACTAATAATGACCTCTCACTTATCTGTAGCTGGAGCAAGTCTTTTGGTCTTACTGTTAATCCTTCAAAAACACAGACTATAATAATTGGAAGTCCATATTTCGTTTCGAGGATCGATTTTGAACATCTCCCGTCAGTTTCTTTCGATGGCACTATCATTCCTTACTCGAGTATGGTCAAAAACCTTGGTATCATATTTGACCAGTGTCTTACATGGAAGCCTCAAATAGATGCACTAAGAAAAAAAGTGTTTGTTGCGTACAATTCGCTAAATAGACTACGAAATTTCCTACCAACTAAAACTAAAATCACGCTTGCACAAACTCTCCTACTTTCCATCATTGACTACGCTGATGTTTCCTATACTGATCTAACCGAGGAACTCCTCAACAAATTAGAGCGTCTGCAGAATATGTGTATTCGGTTTATTTTTAATCTTCGCAAATATGACCATGTGTCGCATTACCGCTCAAAACTTAACTGGCTCCCTATTCGCCGGCGCAGGGACTTACACACTCTTACACTTCTTTATTCTGTTCTTTTCTTGCCCATGTCTCCATCCTACTTAAAATTTTTTTTTTCCTTTCGCAACTCCTCATCCAGATCACAGTGTATTCTGCGGTCTGCCTCAAACCTGAAACTTGATATCCCTCCTCACTCCTCTGACTTCCTATCCTATTCTTTTTCTGTTCAAGCTGTTCGGCTTTGGAACTCGTTACCAGAAAATATTAGGAAGGCTCGCACTTTGCGATCTTTCGTCGCAGAAGTAAAATGTCACTTTCTCTCCAACTTTTAACTCTCTCTTTCTTTCGTGTACATTATATATTTTTCTCTTTATGTATATCTATTTAATTCCTGTCGCTATTGCACCTACTCCCCGTCATCATTCATTACTGTTTATCTATGTTTTCTATGCTACCATTGGTTGCCTGGAAGAGATTGCTGTATAGCAATAAGGCCGCCTTTTGTACTGTCTAATCTTTTTTCTTTCTTTGTAATGTGTCCTATATTTGTGCAATAAAGAATATTATTATTATTATTATCTCGTAAAATAAACAACAGATTACAATTTCAATTATGTTATAGGCTTTTATTTTGTTTTCACCCATTCGGTAAACTGTATGATTATTAAAAAAGTCTATTATACTTTTAAAAAATCGTTAAGTTGTTAATCGATTTGGGTAATTGAATAATAATCAATCACTTAAAATCTATATCGTGTACTTTGACGTCACGACAAGAGCGACAAAAATTCCGGCGTTTAAACTGCTTGTAGTTTTTACATATTTTAATCAATTATTATTGTTATTAAATTTTAATTTTTCGGTGCCGGGTATTTTTTACAATTTTATAACTATGTAAATTATCATATGAAATCATTAAAAAATGTGCATATTCCCTTCATTTAAAGATTATATTATTGCTAGCTTTCCGTCAACGGCTTCGCCCGTTTGGTCCTTTGATATTGATGAAATTCGAATAAAAATCCGTTGTGAACTTGATAAGACGCGAAAACAGCGAAATAATTTTGTTTTGTAGTATATACATGAATAAATAGGTATG